AGGATTTTAGTGTTTAGGATTTAGATTTTGGATTTAGGGTTTATTATTTATGGTTTAGGGTTTAGGTTTTAAGGTTTAACATTTAAGAGTTTAAGATTTAGGTCTCAGGGTTTGGGTTTAGGGTTTATGTTTTAGAGTAAGGGTTTTTTTTTTTTTTTTTTATTTGAACGACCCTTGGGGGGGTCAGGGGCTTAGCAACACCCCCAAGCCTTAGCATAAATAAAAGCTCAAATGAGCTCAAAAAAGTACAAGGAGGGGGACATAAACCTAACCTCCGATCCTATGGTGGGTCACAAGTCGACCTACCTACTAAGGTTAGTCAACTCAGTCCCATACTATAATGGAAAACCTAGAACTATGCACCTAAGGAGAGAACTCCTCTCAATACAAAGGTTTAGAGTTTAGGGTTTAGGGTTTAGGGTTTAAGGTTTTGGGTTTAGGGTTTAGAGTTCAGGGTTTATTGTTTAGGGTTTAGAGTATAAGGGTTTAGGGTTTAGGGTTTATATATAGTTTTAGAGTTTAGGGTTGAGGGTTTAGGGTTTATGATTTAAAGTTTGGGGTTTAGGGTTCAGGATTTATAGTTAAGGGTATAGGGCTTAGGGTTTAGAGTTTAGGATTTAGGGTTTATGATGTAAAATGGATTACATCTAGCCTATCTATTCACGAACATCAATGCTTTGATGAAGTGTACACAAAGATGGAGGTTGTTTGGCATGTATGGATGCCAAGGATAGAGTTCCATGCCTTGCATGGGAACATATGCACCTTGAAGGAGCTCCCAGTTGGGAAACATCATGCTTGGATGATACCTTAGAGAATGGGAGGCCTAACGAAGCGAGGAGGAGCAAGTGAAGAATGTGCTCCATTCGGCGAGCAGAAGGACACTTCGGCGACTCGCTAAAGCCCTCTGGCAAGGGTTCCAAGATCGCCAACTGGCCCAAGGAGCTATGAAGGGGAAAGATGCTCATTAGGCCAGCCGAAGACCATCGGCGCATTGCCAAGTGGATTGGGCGATGGTCCTCAGACCGCCCAAAGTTCCAGTAGCTCCCCAGCCAAGGCAAGGAACATGATTCCTCGCCGACCACATTGGGCGCATAGCTGAGCCATTTGGTGAGCCCGAGTTGGATCGCCCTTTGGCCCATTTATGTAATAAGTCCTTACACTATAAATAGGTGTCTTAGGGTTCATTTTAGGGTAAGACTATTTTGAATATTGATGAATGATAAATTTAACTCCTTGTGTGGGTGTTGAAAGCTTGGTAAGGTTTTGTTGAACATTATTTAGAAATGAGGGTTGCTTGGGATATCGATTCCCTTGAGGTCTTCGTAAGAGTTAGGTGCTTCTTGACGGATTAACGAGGTAAGGTCTTTTGGTTTAATATACCCTTAGATTGCTCTTTGCTTCCTCTTTTTGTGTCTATCTATTTATCTGGATTTGGTACTTGTTAGAATCTAGATTGGAGGTTATTGGATTTAATACATGCTTTAGTTGCCAATTGTTTCTTATCTTGTGTCTCTTCTTCTATCTTTCTTGTTTTCTGTTGTTTGTTGTAGTTCTTCTTGTGAGAATTACATCAGCTTAGGTTTATGGTTTAAGGTTTAGTTTTAGGGTTTAGGGTTTACGATTAGGGTTTATGGTTTTGAGTTTAGGATTTACGGTTTTGAGTTTAGGATTTAGGGTTTAGGGTTTAGAGTTTAGTGTTTAGGGTTTAGGGTTTGGTGTTTAAGGTTTAGAGCTCGCATTTAGGGTTTAGGGTTTATGATATAGGGTTTAGAGTTTAGGGTTTAATGTTTAGGGATTGGGTTTAAGGTTTAGGGTTTAGGGTTTTAGGTTTAGGGTTTATGGTTTAGGGTTTAGGGTTTAAGGTTTAGGGTATAGGGTTTGGGTTTGGAGTTAAGTGTTTTGGGTTTAGGGTTTAGTTTTAGGGTTTAGGATTTAGGATTAGGGTTTAGGGTTTAGGGTTTAGGGTTTTGAGTGTAGGATTTAGGGTTTAGGGTTTAGGGTTTAGAGTTTAGGATTTAGGGTTTAGGGTTTAAAGTTTGGATTTTTGATTTAGAGTTTGGATTTAGGATTTAGGTAATAGGGTTTAGGATTAAGGGTTAGGGTTTAGGTTTTTAAGTTTTGGATTTAGAATTTAGGGTTTAGGGTTTAGGATTCAGGGTTTAGGGTTTAGAGTTTGGGTTTAGGGTTTAGGGTAAGACTATTTTGAATATTGATGAATGATAATTTTTACTCCTTGTTTGAGTGTTGAAAGCTTGGTAAACTTTTGTTGAACATTGTTTAGAAACGAGGGTTGCTTGGGATATCGATTCCCTCGAGGTCTTCGTAAGAGTTATGTGTTTCTTGACAGATTAACGAAGTGAGGTCTTTGGGTTTTAATATACCTTTAGGTTGCTCTTTCTTTCCTCTTTTTGTGTCTATCTATTTATCCGAATTTGGTACCTGTTAGGATCTAGATTGGAGGTTAGTGGATTTAGTACATACTTTACTTGCCAATTATTTCTTATCTTGTGTCTCTTCTTCTATCTTTCTTGTTTTCCGCTGTTTGTTGTAGTTTTTCTTGTGAGAATTACATCATTTGGTATCAGAGCAAGGCTTAGATTCGTTCCTACGATTCTAGTCTAGGGCTGAGATTTGAAAGGGTTTGATTTACTAATGAAGTTTCTACCATTGTTGGTTGAAGAAGCTTTGAAGAAGACGAAGTGGATTTTGAAATCTGGAAGTTTTGGCAAGTAATTGAGTGCTAAAAAGTATTGGGATTTGTTCCCTATATCAAGGAGAGCAGTCATCTAAAGTTTCGTGAAATTCCGAGCTAAAAATCTTCAGGAATTTATTTTAGATCTTTATAGTGTTCTTGAAGTTCTTGAAGAACATTCAAATCTTCAAGCAGGGAATATTTGAAAAAGGAGTTTGATCCAAAAGGGATTAAAGAGAAAGTGTAAAAGTGTTGTAAAAGGGGAATTTACCTAAAATGGTAAAAACTAAGGGACAAACGAAGGTGGGTGACCATAGCAGGTCCAATTTCGGAGCTGTAAAGTTGCAGCGAAGGGACATTGGACGACCCAGACTTTGCTCGCCTAGTCCACTTGGCGCCTCGCCCTTTGGGCAGGTAGGTCGCCGAGTTGACCCGTTTTGGAAGGTGCCACTGGAAATTTCGGCGAGAGAAACCCTGGTCGCCAAATCACTCGGTGCATCGCCGAACTTCCACCCAGATCGCCAAGTTGCCTTGTACGGTTGGCGAGTTTGGCAAGTCAATCTTCAAGTTGGCGAGCTGAACTTCAACTTAGGTGAAGAGAACAGGCCATTTGGCGATGGGAAACTCATCTTATGACCCCTTTCATCTCAGGTTCTAATTTCTTAGTTCCTTTTCTTTTGATTCTAGTTCGTAATCAAGATGCCTAAACTGACTTTCAACTTGTAATTACCTACTTGTTGACTATTGGTTATTGAATTTACATCTTTGTTATACCTTTTCTTTTCGTGCTTTTATTCGTTTACTTCGTAGTTAACTTCTTGAATCAAGTCCGTTTGTTTTAATTGAGTCGTCCGTTTTTTTTAAACAAAAATCCACTCCGGTCAAGAGTAGAAATTGAGACCTTGTGATCAACTGAGTATTAGCAATCTTCAACATTAGCCGCGCCAATTTGAGAGGCAATCAAAGGTGTGCAAACACGAGTGATTGTGAGTTCATTTAACTTAATGCTAACATTGTGTGTTTTTTTGTTGAGTTGTCTTAATTGTTATGTACCATGGCCACCAGAAGTGAGACCCTCCCACTTAAGGGGAAGGTTACCTTGGAATCCATAGTAGAGGCCATTGTTGATGTGAGTTGGAGAATAGCGAACATGAAAGAGTGGATGGCCTCCGTGGAGGGTAGGCTGTGAGGAACGAAGGGGAGGTCGAACATCCCTTCGAATAGGGTGCCGCAACCTCAACCTAACCCTGTTGTTTATCCTTCACCTTCTAAGGATTCTTATGTAGGTACAAGCGTAAAGAGTGGAGGAACACGAGTTCCCAGCCAAGAGCCTACAACTAAAGGTGTGACGGATGCCATTGTGGGATGTTCCAACATCCAAGGTAAAGAAGATTCTTCTTGCGGGAGTCAAGGTACAATAGCTAATCTTAACACTTTTACCATTGCAAATTAACAAAGTGTTAGTTTGTCTTTAAGCGAGCCCATTGATTCTTTATGTTATATTGATAATGTGCTTGTTGAGAATGTGGATACACTAGTTGATCCTATTGATGACCGAATTGTCTCTTCTAGTAAGATCGATTTGTGTCCACCTAGTGTTGACACCTGTGCCTTGAAAGATAGTACATTATTTGGTGATAATCGTGTTGATCAGCCTACTTGTGAGTGTAGTTTTCTGGTTGAGGATCCTTGTAATGTGATTAAGGAACCTCAATTTAGTGGTACTAATGATACTGTTGATCAATTGAATTGGAGTGATTCTATGAACATATCTTTTGTGGAAGATCCGATTGCTTGATTTGCTCATAGAGATTATATGCTTGAAAATGCTTCGAAAAATGATATGTGCCTTTTTGAGGGTGAACTTGCATGTTTTAATTCTTCCCTGGTGGTTGATCATTCCCTCTTTAAGTACAATATCTTATTTGAAGATGATGAAATCACTCCTAGTGATGTACCTAGTGGGGTGAATCTTTAGAGTAGTATAGTTCTTGATAGCTATACTTGTTATAGTAACCCACTATGGTGTGAGGATTTCCCTCCCAAAGATGGAAATATCTTCTTGGAAGATGAGAGTACTCTTGTGGGGAAGGAATGTGGTGTTTGTTTCCCCATTACCTCTTCTTCCTGGTGTGTTTCACTTCTTAATGGTATGACCAGTACTTTTGAGCCTACTCGTAGTCATACCCATGTAGACAACCTAGAGGAACTTGATTTGAGAGACACCTTTCTCTATTACTTGTATACATACGATAAAGCTCATGCTATTGAGTGGAGTGTGTTGTTTGAAGGAAAGAGTGTCAAAATGGTAAATGGATGTGCACTTGATCCTAGTACATGGCTTGCCTTCCCATTTGACCCCAGTAGTGTGTTGAATTGTAACCTTTGTGCTGGAATGTTTGGTCGAAATGGCAAGCATATGGGCTTCGGCAATGTTGATTCCTTTCCTTATGCAGGAAAACTCTTCTTGGGGTTTTGCCATTCACTTGAAGAGCCTACATTGTGTGTGGGGAAGGATATCTTCCTAGACCCCTTGTCTATTTCTTACCCTAAGCATGATCTTGTTGAATGTGCATCTCATGAGGGTAGGAGATATTTGCCTAGAGAAGGTAAAGTTTGTACCTTCCTTTACTATCTCTTTGCATATGATGAAATCCCTAGTGGATTAAATGTGCATTGCATGTGGATCAGGATTTCATTATGGTCTACACTTGTTGGTATGATCCAGTTCTGTGGACGTCCTATTATTTTGATCTGGTGTGTAACAACCTGTATTATGTGTATGCTAGTTCTATTCATGTGATACTTGACATAGCCTTATAGTATAGGTAAGGGACCGTGCTTCTTAGATGATTAGTGTTGGTTTAAACTAGCTCGCAAGGTGATGTAACACCTTGCACGTTTCAGCATGTGTACTGCATGTTAGCTCCGACGAAAGTATTTAAACTATAGGTAGTAAAGTGGTTATTGGGCCAAATGCACTACCACCTACTTGCACTAATTTGGCCCAAGTTGAGTAGAAGGATAAGGGAAAAATGGTCAGCCAAGGCCCAATAGTCTCAAGTCCAAAAAGGAACAAGTGAAAAGTCCAAATAGGTGGACCACCTACTTGCATTAATTATGGCCCAAATTGAAATGAATAGAAGGATAATTCGGAGTAGGGCCCAACAAGTGTTGAAGTTACCAAAAGCCCAAGTTAAAAGGCCAAGTAGGTGGGGCCAAGTAGGTGGGTCACCTACTTGACAATATATTGTCAAAATAAGGTATGTAGGGCGATTTGATTCCATATTCCTTGGCATGAAATCTGATACTGGCGATAAATGTCAATTAGAGAATTTCCTAAGTTCTATTCCTAGTAAAGGAAACATAGTGGCAACGTACGATATCCAACTAGCTAACAATATCCCCCATCCTAAGTGTACATAATTACTTAGTTATACGTTCAGTACTCTATAGTCAATTGAAGTCAATTGTGTCATTCCAGCTCTCAAGTAATGCATTAATGTTACATAGCTCCTTATATTGTAGATACTAAACTCAAGTATTATTTTCATGTCTCCTACTACTGTTCCGTATTTCCAAATCTCAAAAATGATTGTGACCACCAAAACAACAATCTCAAAGATTAAAGAATCTAGGTGAAGAAAATAGTATAACTATGGGTGGCAGCTCAGGGGCGAAAGCCTAGCATGGGCCGATCCCGATTTGTGCAATGTTGAGGACCGCATCCCAGGGGTTAAAATGCCTAGCATGGGTCATCCTCTTCTACCACTGATCAGTTGGTCGTTTGTATCATGCCTTATAAAGATCCCAGGGGTTAAAATGCCTAGCATGGGTCATCCTCTTCTACAACTACTTATTTTATATATGTAGTTGCCTTACATATTCAGTACACTTTTCGTACTAATCTCCCTTGTGGTGGAGCTGTGTTTCATGTTGCAGGAACAGGTACTCCCGCTAGTAGACCTCCTCAGTAGGAGCATACGACACTCAGCTACTTTTGGTGAGCTCCAGGTTGCTTCGGATCTTTACTGAGCCCTTGGTAGATTCATTTTGGTATTGTATCGTACTTAGGGGTAAGGCGGGGTCTGTCCCGACCTACTCTAAGGGTTTCTATCTTTTAGAGGCTTTGTAGACTTATGTATATGGTTCAGTTGCATCTTAAAAAGTTGTGGCCTCAATGGCCAAGTCTTGTATATAAGTTTTGGGTCTACTTATGTTGGTTCGTATCGCTGCGTCCCTGGCAAACTTGTCACAAAACATTCATAGTTACATGCATAGTAAGCACAGGTCACATGTTGGTTCTCCCGTCTTAATGGGATTTGAGGCGTGATAAAGTGGTATCAGAGCAGGTCATCCTAGGGAATCTACAAAGCCGTGTCTATGTAGAGTCTTGCTTAGGGATGTGTTGTGCAACACATTTATAAACAGGAAGCTACGGGACATGTAGGAGTTGTCTCTTTTCTTTCATTTCTTAGATCGTGCAATAGAACCAATGTTGTAGGTGAATAGTACCTAACTTCTGAATTGTTTTATTATAGTGAAGATGCTAGTTACGAGAAGGAGTAAAAGTACAGGTAAGCGAGTGGATGTGGCTGCCCAAGAAGGCACCCGCCAACCACCACCTAGTTAAGCTGTTCAAGGTGAGGCTCAAGAAGAGTCTCTATCACAGACTTTCCCGACCCCTCCATCGCCAGAAGAGCTAAGGAGGGAAGCTGCACCTCAAGAACCCCCTATTAAAGCTACCGAGCAAGATTTGAGAAATGCAGTCCAATTGTTGACTCGTATAGTTGTTGGCCACAGCCAAAGTTAAGAAGGTCCAGTTGAGGGTATTAGTAGTGTAGATAGAGCAGCTGGCACGCGGATACGTGATTTCCTTAATTTGGACCCTCCATCATTCACCGGGACAGATCCTAATGAAGATCCACAAGACTTTATAGATCAGATCCAACGCACTTTCGATGTTATGCATGTAAGTGGTAAAGAAGCGCTCGAGCTAGCAGTATATAGATTAAAGGGTGTGGCTATATTGTGGTATGAAGCTTGGAAGCAATCCAGGGGAACAGATGCACCTTCAGCTATATGGAAAGAGTTCAAAAAGGCATTCCTTGACCATTACCTGCCATTGGAGATCCGAGAGGCCCGTGCGGATCAGTTCTTAAATCTCCACCAAGGAAGTATGAGCGTGAGAGAGTACAGTCTCAAATTTAATTCCTTGGACAGGTATGCTTCTAATCTAGTTGCTACTATGGGGGATAAAGTTCATCCATATATGGATAGATTAGATTCATATCTGGTTAGAGACTGTACCATTTCTTCATTGAATAAAGATATGGATATAGCAAGGATGCAAGCTTTCGCGCAAAATCTGGAGGATCAAAGGCAAAGAAGAAGGACACAAGAGTCAGAAATAGGGTATTCTAAGAGGGCTAGATCTATAGGGCAATTTACACCATCACAAGGTTAGTTTAGGCCTCGGTTCTTTAACAGACCGCCGAGGCTATCATCTTCCTACTCTACAGTTATTGCCCCACCTCAATTACAATGGTCTAGGGGCAATCAGTTTGGGCAAAGAGGTGAAGGCCAAGGTTCACGAACAACGGGATACCAAGAGCAGGGAAGTATGAGCCAATCAAGACCTCCTCAAGAGTTTTGTAAACAATGTGGAAGGAATCATTTAGGTGCATGTCGGTTTGGGACAAATGCTTGTTTTTGGTGTGGTACACCAGGTCATATGATGAGAAATTGCCCTCATAGGGGTGTAGGTGGTGTGGCACAACCTACTAGGTCAGTTGTTGCATCCTTGTCATCAACACCTTATTTAGGTAAAGGATAGATGCCTACTGGTCGAGGTAGAGGAGCTAGGGGAGCAGCTAGTTCTAGTGGGGTTCAGAATCGCACATATGCTCTCCGGTATCGATAAAATTTGGAAGCCTCACCGGATGTGGTTATAGGTACATTGTCCATCTTTTTACATATTGTATATGTATTAATTGATCTGGGGTCTACACTATCATATGTTACTCCATTGATTGCTGAAAAGTTCAAAAGAACACCAGAATTATTAGTGAAGCCATTTGAGGTGTCTACACCGATTGGTGACTCTATTATAGCTAGAAGGGTTTATCGTAATTGCATTGTAACTGTTTGTGATCGTGATACGTTGGCTGCCCTTGTTGAGCTAGAAATGGTGGATTTTGATGTTATAATGGGTATGGATTGGTTAGCTTCTCGTTATGCCACGGTAGATTGCCGAACGAAGACGCTGCATTTCCATTTTCCAAAAGAGGCCGTTCTTGAATAGAAAGGTAATATTGGGACACCAAGAGGTAAAATTATTTCCTATTTTAAGGCAAAGAAGATGATGTCCAAAGGATACATATGTTATCTAGTGAGAGTGAGAAATATAGATGCGGAGCCACCAACTCTTCAATCCATTCCAGTGGTAAATGAATTTCCCGATGTATTTCCTGAAGATCTTCCGGATTTGCCTCTAGAACGAGAAATAGAGTTTGGTATTGATGTGATTCCAGATACTCAACCTATATCCATCCCTCTATATAGAATGCCCCCGGCAGAATTACGGGAGTTGAAGGAGCTATTAAAAGACTTATTAGAAAAAGGATTCATAAGGCCTAGTATGTCCCCATGGGGAGCACCAGTTTTATTTGTACGCAAGAAAGATGGCTCGTTAAGAATGTGTATCGATTATCGGCAGTTGATTAAGGTAACGATTAAGAACAAATATCCCCTCCCTAGAATTGATGATTTGTTTGATCAGTTACAAGGTGCTAGGTGTTTTCCAAAAATTGACCTGAGGTCGGGTTATCACCAAGTGAGGGTCAAAGACGAAGATATACCCAAGACAGCTTTCCGAACACGATATGGTCATTTTGAGTTTGTAGTCATGTCATTCGGGCTAACGAATGCACCAACAGTTTTTATGGATTTGATGAATAGGGTGTTCAAGCCATTTTTAGATGTGTTCGTGATAGTATTCATAGATGACATTTTGGTGTATTCAAGATCGGAAGAGGACCATGCTAATCACCTGCGATAGGTTCTACAAATTCATCGTGATTGTAAGTTGTATGCAAAGTTCTCTAAATGTGAGTTTTGGTTAAAATCTGTGGCATTCCTAGATCATGTTGTATCCGATGAAGGAATAAGGGTTGATAATCAGAAGATAGAAGCCGTGAAAAAATGGCCAAGACCTACAACGCCTACGGAGATCCGTAGTTTCCTTGGATTGGCAGGTTATTACAGAAGGTTCATTGAATGATTCTCTTCCATTGCTGCACCCTTAACAAAGCTAACACACAAAGAAACCAAGTTTCAGTGGAGTGATGAATGTGAAAGAAGCTTCCAAGAGCTGAGGAATAAATTAACTTCTACACCGGTATTGGTACTTCCAGAAGGAACAGAAGTGTATGCAGTGTATTGTGATGCTTCGGGGGTGGGCCTAGGATGTGTTTTGATGTAGCATGATAAAGTAATAGCTTACGGCTCAAGGCACTGCGGCCACATGAGAAAAATTATCCAACTCATGATCTAGAACTAGCAGCAGTTGTATTTGCTTTGAAGATATGGCGCCACTACATGTATGGAGTTCATGTTGACATATACACTAATCACAAGAGTTTGCAATATATCTTTAAGCAAAAGGACCTAAATCTGAGGCAGCGAAGATGGTGGAGCTATTAAAAGATTATGACATTGATATCTTGTATCATCCCGGGAAAGCAAATATAGTAACTGATGTGTTAAGTCGTAAAATAATGGCAAGCACCTATGGGCAGTCTATGGAAAGACAAGGAAGAACTAAGGATCTATGTCAACTACCTAGCTTGGGGGTTCGGCTTCTTGAATCTCCTGACAAAGGGGTTATTGTGCAAAATGCGGCAGAATCCTCATTAGTAGTAGAAGTGAAAGAGAAGCAGTACACTGATCCTATTTATTAAAGCTTAAGGAGAATGTACAATAGGGTATGACAAAGGCATTTGAGCTTACGCAAGAGGGAGTACTTCGATGTCAAAACAGATTGTGTGTACCTAATGTAGATGAATTAAGAAAGAGGATTGTGATGGAAGCGCTTCATTCGAGATATTCTGTCCATCCGGGGTCAACTAAAATGTATCATGACTTAAAAAAAATGTATTGGTGGGGGGATATGAAGAATAACATTGCGGAATTCATGGCTCAATGTCCAATTTGGAAGTGGGATATGATCAATATGGATTTTGTCACTGGTTTGCCTCGTTTATTTCGGAAGTTTGATTTATATGGGTAATTGTTGATAGACTGACCAAATCAGCGACTTATTGCCGGTCAAGACTACTTATACAGTTGAGGAATATGCGAGTTTGTAAATTAAAGAGATAGTTCGTCTACATGGAGTGCCAATCTCTATTATATCTGATAGGGGAGCTCAATTCACTGCAAATTTTTGGAAGTCATTTCAGAAGAGTTTAGGAACACAAGTGATTTTAAGTACAACCTTTCACCTTCAAACAGATGGTCAGGCAGAGCGTACAATTCAAACACTGAGGATATACTGCGAGCTTGTATATTGGACTTCAAAGGTAGTTGGGATGATCATTTGCCATTGATCGAGTTTGCATACAACAAAGCTGCCATTCAAGTATTAAAATGGCACCTTATGAAGCTTTATATGGTAGAAAATGTAGATCCCCAATTGGCTGGTTTGAAAAAGGTGAAACCACCTTATTTGGGCCAGATCTTGTTCATCAATCTATGGAAAAAGTCAAAGTGATACAGCAGCGGCTAGAAACAACTCAAAGTCGACATAAATCATATGCGGATGTTAGAAGGAGAGGACTAGAATTTTCTATAGGGGATTGGGTGTTCTTGAAGGTGTCACCATTAAAAGGGGTAATGAGGTTTGGTAAAAAAGGAAAATTGAGTCCACGCTATATAGGGCCATATAAGATTATTCGAAGAGTTGGCCAAGTAGCCTATGAGTTAGAGCTACCACAAGAGCTTTCATCAGTTCATCCGGTGTTTCATGTCTCATGCTTCGGAAATGCATAGGTGACCCATCTCATATTACTCCTACTGAAGATGTACAGGTACGGGAGATCTCACTTATGAAGAAGTACCCATTGCTATTCTGGATCGACAAGTTAGGAAGTTAATAAATAAAGAAGTAGCATCTGTAAAAGTATTATGGAGGAACCAACAAGTAGAAGAAGTTACATGGGAAGCGGAAGAAGCAATGAAATTGAAGTATCCTCACTCTTTCAGATCCATGAGAAGGATGAAAATGCTTAGTCTAAACCTGACAAGTATAAGTCTATTTGTATTATGTGATTAATAGTAGCACTAACTTAGGCTTGAACTTGTTTGGTCTGGATAACCATGCGAACATTCGAGGATGAATGTTTTTAAGGGGGAAAGAATGTAACAACTTGTATTATGCGTACGCTAGTTCTATTCACTGATACTGACGTAACCTTATAGTATAGTTAGGGACCATGCTTCTTATATGATTAGTGTTGGTTTAAACTAGCTCGCAAGGTGATGTAACACCTTGCACGTTTCAGCATGTGTACTGCAAGTTAGCTCCGACGAAGTATTTAAACTAGAGGTAGTAAAGTGGTAATTGGGCCAAATGCACTACCACCTACTTGCATTAATTTGGCCCAAGTTGAGTAGAAGGATAAGGGAAAAATAGACAGCCAAGGCCCAATAGTCTTAAGTCCAAAAAGGCCCAAGTGAAAAGTCCAAATAGGTGGACCACCTACTTGCATTAATTAGGCCCAAATGACATGAATAGAGGGATAATTCAGAGTAGGGCCCAACAAGTGTTGAAGTTCCCAAAAGCCCAAGTTAAAAGGCCAAGTAGGTGGGTCACCTACTTGACAATATATGGCCAAAATTAGTCAAGAAATTGGCCATTACACCTCCTTTTTAAAGGGATAAAGATCAGATCTTTTGCTTCATTTTTAACTTGCAAAATTTTAGATTTCTTAAGTTTCTCTCTTGGTCTCTCTTGGCTTCAATAGAAAACCTTGGTCCTTGAGTATTGCCCCATTTTCAAGTAAAAGTTTGAAGGAGAGTTTCAGTTCTTGGAGTACAAGTTTAAAGGATAAATTCCTAGAAACTAAGGTAAAACTACTGCCCATTTTTGCCTCTCTTTAAATACAGATTTGGGGTGGAGAATTTTGTATATATTTATCACGAACTAATGGATGATGATAAATCCTTGAGTCAATATCTCCTATTATGCTGAAAGATTTTTAGGGATTGATAGTGGCTGCCTTATGTATATTGTTGTTGGGGGCTGTTTGGGTATCTTGGAAAAGGATGTATGAATTGTATTAATGTATAGAAGAAGAAGGGTGTGGTGGTTCACCATTGGTGCAAGGGTTGTATGGGCCTACTTTCCGTCAAGTGTTAGCTACTGTTTTTAGGGCCTTAATGTGATTAGCTGCTGACATTAGCTTAATTGTGACTTATATTGTAGATTAGCATCCAAGAAGGGAGGCTGAATTGTGACAGTGGTATTGGTCAGAAAATAAGGTATGTAGGGTGATTCGATTCCATATTCCTTGGCATGAAATCTGATACTGCGATAAATGTCAATAAGTGAATTTCCTAAGTTTATTCCTAGTAAAGGAAACATAGTGGCAACGTACGATATCCAAATAGCTAACAATATCCCCCCTCCTAAGTGTACATAATTACTTAGTTAACGTTCAGTACTCTATAGTCAATTGAAGTCAATTGTGTCATTCAAGCTCTCAAGTAATGCATTAATGTTACATAGCTCCTTATATTGTAGCTACTGTCCTAAAGTATTATTTTCATGTCTCCTACTACTGTTCGTATTTCCAAATCTCAAAAATGATTGTGACCACCAAAACAACAATCTCAAAGATTAAAGAATCTAAGTGAAGCAATTTGTATAACTATGGGTGGCAGCTCAGGGGCGAAAGCCTAGCATGGGCCGATCCCAATGGGTATAAAAGGGTGGCAGATTAGGGGCGAAAGCCTAGCATGGGCCGATCCCGATTTGTGCAATGTTGAGGACCGCATCCCAGGGGTTAAAATGCCTAGCATGGGTCATCCTCTTCTACCACTGATCAGCTGTCATTTGTATCACATGCTTATAAAGATCATAACACACATAAAGGTAAAGACAAAAATGTAACATACATGACCCCACAAGAGTTAACAGAGGCGGCCTCCTATTCTGATTTATGCACTTATACGTTGATACCTGGTTTCGTTTGACTCTTATTTTATATATGTAGTTGCCTTACATATTCAGTACACTTTTCGTACTGAGTCCCTCGTGGGGAGCTGCTTTCATGTTGCAGGCACAGGTACTCCCGCTAGTAGACCTCCTCAGTAGGAGCATACGACACTCAGCTACTTTTGGTGAGCTCCAGGTTGCTTCGGAGCTTTACTGAACCCTTGGTAGATTCATTTTGGTATTGTATTGTAGTTAGGGGTAAGGCGGGGTCTGTCCCGACCTACTCTAAGGTTTCTATCTTTTAGAGGCTTTGTAGACTTATGTATATGTTCAGTTGCATCTTAAAAGTTGTGGCCTCAATGGCCAAGTTTGTATATAAGTTTTGGGTCTACTTATGTCGGTTTGTATCGCTGCGTCCCTGGCCAACTTGTCACAAAACTTTCATAGTTACATGCATAGTAAGTATAGGTCACATGTTGGTTCTCCCCGTCTTAATGGGATTTGAGGCATGACAAACTGGTATCAGAGCAGGTCATCCTAGGGAGTCTACAAAGCCGTGTCTATGTAGAGTCTTGCTTAGGATGTGTTGTGCACCACATTTATAAACAGGAGGCTACGGGACATGGAGTTGTCTCTTTTCTTTCATTTCTTAGATCGTGCGATAGAACCAATGTTGTAGGTGAATAGTACCTAACTTCTGAATTGTTTTATTATAGTGAAGATCTGGTACGAGAAGGAGTAAAAGTACAGGTAAGCGAGTGGATGTGGCTGCCCAAGAAGGGACCAGCCAACCACCACCTAGTCAAGCTGTTCAAGGTGAGGCTCAAGATGAGTCTCTATCACAGACTTCCCCGACCCCTCCATCGCCAGAAGAGTAAGGAGGGAAGTTGCACCTCAAGAACCCCCTATTAATGCTACCGAGCAAGATTTGAGGAATGCAGTCCAATTGTTGACTCATATAGTTGTTGGCGACGGCCAAAGGCAAGAAGGTCCAGTTGCGGGTATTAGTAGTGTAGATAGAGCGGCTGGCACGCGGATACGTGATTTCCTTAATTTGGACCCTC